GCGGAGTTACGAGTGCGAGATTGGATATCTGTACTAGTATGGTATTACATTACCAGTATGGTATTCACATCGTCTGTGGTATTGGACACTTTTTACACACTAAAACCTTTTTGGAATGTATGTTACTGGATTGTTACTCCATTATTTTTCACTTCCCCTTTGGATCCAGATACACATACATACGCACAAATCTCATATTATACAGTCGCTTAAAGTTCGTGAAACGTTACTAATGAATTAGAATTTTCTTACGAATTTCCAAGATAAGTAATGACCGTATATATTACAGAACTGTGTAACATACATCCTTAATTCACCACAAGCCTTCATGAAACTTAATTCTATTAACATCCTAATTTGTCTCAGGAGAAACCTCTTCCTTACATCTGAATTGATTAAAACAAAATTTGTTCAGTATTCCTTTTTATGTTATACACTATTTAGCCTGAAAATTACCATGCGTCCATGGATACACTTCACGCCTTTTTACCATTTCGACAGGTAGATATCACAGCCTTCTACTTGCTGCGATCCTGACACGTATCTTCGCGTCATTATCATGCGTCAATGCTTTCAATTACGCTAGTAGGTTAAGCATACTCTTGACCTGATCTTTCTTCAAGGCGTCAAATTCGTCTTCCATTAAAAATTATCTCGGTGACTTAATTTTACAAATTACCTAATTTTTAGACAAATTCAGCGTCAATAAAAAGTGCAATAAAGTCGCGCTTATTTCGCCATCGAGTTTTTTACTTAAGTGTGAATTGAAAGTATTTTATTTGATTTGTTGTGCTTATTTACTTCTCTGATTCCATTGTTTGCAACATACAGGACCAGCAAAGACTCTAAAAACCAGCCCGTAATTTCTACATTTAAAGTAACACATGCAACAAAAATAAAACACTATGGATTGTTGAAACCCATAGCAGCATGAAATGGAAGGTTACTTAATCGACATTACTTTAACTGACGCTTGGTTCCGTAAGAGAATTTTATTTTGGATGCTATGTTCCGTAAGTGTAGCCTATTTTTTAACCGACTTCAAAATAGGAGAAGGTTATACGGTCGGCTGCATGTATGTTTTCAGATATCTCCGTCAATTGTGGACCGATTTTGAATTTTTTTTTTATTTCAAATGATGCATTCTTGTGGTTGTCTCTTTGTCACCAAGTCAGAATCTCATGAGGGGATCCCATGAAAATCGAAGTAAAACCTCAAATTTTATAGGCATGTCCGTGTATTCAGTAACTTCTCCATCAATTGTGCACCGATTTTGAAAATTTTTCTTTTGTTTGAAAGGGCATACTCTCGTGGTGTTCCTGATACTGCTCCGGGCTCGTTTCCGCTATCATAAGTTACTAATTGTTTTCCACAAATAAAAGTCGACTTTTCACTTGACACGATACATATAATCAACAAATCACCGGCACCATGACAACCAGAAAAAAAATGTACAAAGGAGTCCGTAACAGTCCCATTGTCACCAAGACCTCAGAATCTGACGAGAGGATCCCATGGAAATCGAAAAAAGCTGATAAGCAAACTTTTGACTGCGGGTTTTTTTTTCAATGAAAAAGTTACTATTATGCGTAAAAAAACCTGCATCAGCAACAACCATGTAACAAAGGTCTACATTATAAAGACTTTCTGCTGCATATAACTAACTGTATCGCATTATAAGTTTATTTGAAACCTTCAAACTCTGAAGTCCCTGAACCGTATTAGGCATTGCTGTGGGAGTGTAGCCCTCCGTTAGAAGAAACGAAAGTGATCAATCTGACTTTACTTTGTATAAACTTTATCACCACCATTTTGCCGCTGCTTAACTTACAATAAAAGTACCTTTTTACGGATTTTATAAAAAAGAAAACACGTAAAAAGGTACTTTTCTTTTCTTTTCTCTACATTAATAGTACCAATAATTGTAGTTACAAAGACAAAATAACTGCTTCCGTGGCCGAATGGTTACCATGCTGGATTTCCACGCAAGACGCCCCGGGTTCGATTCCCGTGACAGGAGAAATATTCGTATGGCTTACATTTATTTTTCTCGTGTGGCACTCACGATACAGGGTTTCCCTAATGCGGGGCTAAAAAAATCTTCGACCCGACAGGACTCGCATCTGTGTCCACCCTGTACCGTAGCGTCGCTCTGCCAACTGAGCTACAGGTCGATGAAATTCTTCTATTGAAAAACATCGTAAATTAAAAAAATCAATAGCGCCAATAATTATTACATTCAAGCTCTTTGAGCGGCATATTGTTAGTTACTGTAGAGCTCCTTGTGAAAGAATTCCTCCAGGAAAGTACTGCCAGCTCACCTATTTACCACCAAGTTGCGGTTTTTGAAGGGTAAGGGTGCTGGTGAAATTACAGGCACATGGGACTTGTCAACTTATGTCTCAGGGTGTCGGGCGCAGTGTCAATGCGTCACAAATCTTTGCGATTTAAAGAGCTGAGTAGCACTGCAACTGTTATGGACAGGCGCGTAGCTTACCATCAGGCGCAGGACTTGTTCGTCCCGTCACTAAATATTATAAAAAATAAAATTATAAAAAATCCAGTGACACTATTGAGACTCAACTGCCATTGAATCTAGAATTTAGCCGAATAACAAATAAATATTATCACAATTGCAATATATTCTCATTGGAGTCTCAACGGAATTACAGTGATCAGTTTAAAAAAAATTTGCAGATTCGGGACCCTGAACTCAGAAAGCGTGACATTATTTGTACGTAAACAAACTATACAACGTTCGCTTACCCCTTGCAAGAACTTTACATATTGATTCACGGTAGTCAATAGACGTATAAGTATACGTAGCCAATAGAAAAGTTTACACTTTTTAGTAAGATAAGTGAGAAATAATCTCAGTACAGAGTACTAAAAAAACTGACCTCGAAAGTAAGTGGACTTACATCTATTTGCTAAGTTTTATTGAAATATCCCCTAGTTCGCCACTATACAGGACTTGACACTGGAGATAAAAAAATCGGTTCTCACTACTCAAAGTATATTGAAAGAAAAACGCCTTGAATTGGAGAAATAGCAAAATCAACCATTAAAGTAATTGCTCCTAAATTAAAGTTAGGCGCTATTTATAAAAATGAATCTTCATGCGTGAACAGCCACCCTTCGAGGTGGATGCTTTTCTTCAAAATGAAATGGGACCACCATGGAAGTACCCCCTATCCAACAAAAAAAGAATCATGAAAATCGGTTCACAAATACCGGAGTTATCGCGTAACATACATATAAAAAAAGAACATACAGACGAATTGAGAACCTCCTCCTTTTTTGAAGTCGGTTAAAAATACAAAGTAACCAGCAAACAGTGATTACGGTAGCGTTTCTTTGCTTTTCCCTATAATGTAACAGCACGTAGTATGTTAGATGTTTGCGTAGCAGACTATAAATAATCCAATTTTCAGATTTTGTTGTTATGATATTAAGTGACAGGACGAGCAAGTTGGGAACCAGGTGGTAAGGGACACGCCTGTCCATAACAGTTGCAGTGCCACTCAGAGCTTTAAATCGCAAAGACCTGAGCCCGTCACCCTGAGATATAAGTAGACAAGTCCCGTGTGCCTGTAAATTTCAGCAGCACCCTTACAGTGGCAGTAATTCTCTGGAGGAACTCCTTCATCCTTGTGAAAGCTCACAGCTCCGCTGCTACTAAAATTACAAATTACAATTATTTCACAGAATATTATACAAACATTTGAGATCTTAATCTAACTACATTTAAGATCGTAGATTTCTCATAGATAGCGCAACGGCTAAAAAGTCGTTGAAAAACCAAATACAAAGATACAACGCAAACACATAGAAAAATTCGTGAGGTCCGCTGGTTCGTTCCTTGGCTTAGTTGGTATAGCGTCTGACACGGTATGCTAGAAGACATCGGTTCGAATCCGGCCGGATCGAAGGAATTTTTTCTGAGTGTTCGATCTTTGTATTAATTATTATAACAAAGTTGTGTTAAAGTTAAAAGTTTTTATTTTCTTCTGTATTCAACATTTTTCACACAATTTGAATAAATATTGAATGAAATATTGAATATTGCGGTTTTCTTGTAAAAGTTCGAGGTAAGTTTGTGTATCTTTTCCATCTTGAAAATTTTTAGGGAGCGTGTTTTCACAACGTACAGTAATGAGTATGCTATTATATTCTCAATTGTACTATATATTTTAAGTGTTTTATTAAACACTTTCGCTGCTATGCGGAATCAACCAAGCAATTTGAGGTTGTATATATTCTTTAACAGTAGAATGGAAATCCGATGACATTACAATAAAATGGCAACTTTGATCTAATGTCCAGCCAGGAGAGTCTCCGCAGACTGCCTAACCCCTCAATTACGAGTCTAGCCTACGGATTGATTTTTAATAGTACACTTTTGTAGGCTTTATGTTATACCTAAAGTGAACATACGTCCCGCTTAGAGCTGGATAATTCCGCTTTTAGGCTTTGTGTCCCGCTTTCACAAAACAGAATACTGTTACGTGTGTATATAAAATTCAAAAAAATGACGCGAATGTGAAAAATATAATAAAGCCAGTCAACCGGACATCGAGCACCAGAGCAAACAAGATTAGTTCTTTTTTACATTTTTGATTCATTAAACAATAATAGTTGTTTTTAATAAATTTACCGTTCTGAGGAAAAAATAATGGTCACGTTAGTTATACCTCAAAACAGAAGCAGAAAAAACTGATAATTTAATCTGTTGACCCGCTCCATTCTTTATACGACAATATGACTACATGAACTTGTAATGTGGATATAGAAACAATAAAATTGAACTTCTTAGCTCGTTATAGTTAGGATTGAAAAGGTCTTCAATATTGCGAAAAAGATTCCGAAGAATGTTGTTGCCGGAAATGTTAACACGCTCAACGATACATTATACGCGGAACAAAAAAATACTGAATATACAATATATAAAGATAAATAAATTCTTTAGAAAAACAAAAAAGTCTGGCAATGACGAATTAGGGCTCGTCCGGGATTTGAACCCGGGACCTCTTGCACAGTTAGCAAGTTATCATACCCCTAGACCAACGAGCCTGTTACGTTTAATGTTGAAAGTAAGCATTGCCACGAGTAGACATTGATTTCCCAACTCCAAGCCCCGCCCACTCACGAATTTCACCGACGGCGTTGTAAATGGATGTGAAAATTTGTTTCTTTTTTTAGCTTCTTTGTTACTTCAATTATGTTTCAGTACAATATATCCTAGTACAATTATAACTTTTTATATAAAAAATACCGAACTGAAAAGTTTGCGGAATGACGTCTATTTGCCAGTTTTTATTGAAAACGGTTAACGGAAAATGAGTATAAAATTGGGTGTAATCTAATACACCGCATTCTTCTCCTAATTTGCCAGCTTTATGGAGGTGGGATATTTTCTTCTTTGTAAGTGACCACTACTGAGTACAGTAAAGTGAAAAAATCATCGAAATCGGTTCACAAATGGCAGACAAATCGCGTGACGTGCATAGAAAAAATACGTTCGAATTGGGAACCTCCTTTTTCTGAAGTCGATTAATAAGAATAAACCTCTTATTCACCTAACGATTAGGAAATGAAACTATTTATTCGGATCGCGTATGTTTATTTTTTCAAACAAACCAACGTTCGGGCCCTTTACAGGTCCCATAATCACGGCTAAATGTAAATATAATACATTGACTTACAATTATATGGTCGTCGGGTCCGCGCTAAAAAGTGTCCGAACTTATAGAGCGTTAAAATCGTATAGAGAGCGTCATTCGCGCTTTAGTCTTCGTTTGTTCGACTGACAGCGAAGCAAGCAAATTTAGACAGTACTGCGATGATAATTACAATTTAAATTCAACGTTTTAGCTTTTTCATATTCCTTTACAAGTCACTACGTTTACATAGGTGGACTTGGGACATTTTTTTCGTGGTTTGTGTATTAGACCCGTCGTCCATTTATTTGTAAGTCAATGATATAATACGTATGATTCATTTCCTACGTGTAACAATCGCGAAAATCGAAGAACGCGATACCATTTTAACACTAATTGCTCACCAGATAATCACGCCACACTTTTAATGACATAAACCCTATAATATCAAATGCTTTTTTCAAATTTCGCATTCAAATTAGTGAGTCTCATTATTCAGCTCGGCTTCACTTAGAAAACGTTCTCGCTCATTGTACTTGTAATTAGTGCCTTTTCAGAAACGTAAATGAAGCCCATAAAATATAATGGAGAGACGGCAATCACGATGAAAGGTACCATTAATTGTTCAACTCGAAATAAACAGATTTGTTTCTTCTATCTCTGGTTTATTCGTTGAAATTTTATCCTGATCTGGCGAAGTACTTTAAAAGTATATGGTTTGAATAATTTGAATGATTGTTTCACTTTACTGATCAAGGGAAAACATCGATTTGCATCTACAAGTGTATAGGCTTATTTGGAATAAATCAATGGATATATTGGAGGATATATATGGATACCTTAAATGCTTAACATTTTTACTTAAGGAAAACATTATTTTCCTTACTATGAATTCAATAATAAATGCATAGTAACATATCCCGATGGGTCTTCACCAATCATAGCGTGCAGCGCGAATCAAGTAGGCGTGTGTCCGGCTTCTATTTCACACATTTGCAAAATTCCACTGGATAACGTTTAACTGCCTCTGTGGCCGAACTGTTACCATTCTGGACTGCTTGGCAGAGGTCCCGGGTTCAATTCCTGGGCCGAGAGAAATATTTGTGTGGCCTACATTTATTTGTCTCATGAGTTTGGGTACAATTTGTGGTTGTCTATTTGTGTGTCCGCGATACAGGGTTTCCCTAGTGCGAGACTTTGAGTGTGTGCGGTTAAAGAAATGGCGACCAAAAAGTCGAAACAAATTGGCTTACAGACGAATAGCGTTCACGCAATTTTTTTTTAAATTTAAACTTTCTTCCAACCAATTATAGTTTATTTATAAAAACGAATTTGTTTTAATGTTATATATTTCATGACGAGTTTACACAGCATGCGGTGTTTGGCTTAATTAACTGTTGCACCCCAGCATTAAGACAATATTGTACTTTCCTAGTTGTAGTTTATTGGTGAACCAATAAAAAAATGTCTGAATCGATGCCAGATGTAAAACTATCTTAAGGTAATGTAACAAAATTATTACAGTAACAAATTAATACCCTAATTATAATAATAATATTAAGGATAATTTGTATTTTGTAAATCTAACTACAAAATAGTGTTACATAATTAAGTAGAATAATGTGAAACGACTAAAAAGTCGTTGAAAGACCAAATACAAAGACACGACGCAAGCACATAGAAAAATTCGTGAGGTCCGTTGGTTCGTTCCGTGGCTTAGTTGGTATAGCGTCTGCCACGGTATGCAAGAAGACGTCGGTTCGAATCCGACCGGATCGAAGGAATTTTTTCTGAGTGTTCGAGCTTTGTATTAATAATTATAACAAACTAGTGGAGTAATTTCACAAAAAATAATTGAATATCAATTCAATAAAAATTTAATTAGAATAATGTGATTGGTTTGGCTTTTCAATAGAGCTACGTAAAGATCGATCGTAAGTCATGGTAATTCGTAAGTAATTAAAACAGGAAATGAAACTATTTTTCCGGGAAAACAAATTTTTTGTTTTTGTTTTGCTTCGGTTTTACTAAGGAAAATTTTACCCGTCGCCACTGGTAATTAGCATTATCATTACAACATATATTTATTGATAAAAATTTGCTGTCTATTTTCTAAATAATAAATAAACAATCTAAATTGCTCCTTTGTAATCCTAAAATTCTTCCAAGCTATTACAAAGAATGATCAATACTTAATTAATCTAATGTAAATTAAATTTCCTCCCAATTGAATCGCGTTTTCTGTCTTTATGTTAATTCGTGAGCTCCTGATGGTCGTAATTGATTAAATTCGGAGTAGAGTTTTGAATTCCTTTCTGCTTGGAATGGAAACCTGAAACACCAATTGGTGATTTTATTAGAGACCTCTTAGATTGGCAAAATAAAGACTTTACTGAAGCCTAAGGTTTTTGAAATACCATCTTGCAAGAAAACATTCTAGTCGATTTTGGCAAGATTACATAAAAAAATAGACGAAAATGTTTACCATCCCTATCATTGACTTACAAATAAATGGACGACGGGTCTAATACAAAAACCACGAAAAAAATGTCCCAAGTCAACGTATTCGAAATTTAAATTGTTATGTCATCGCAGTATCGCGCTGTACGTAGAACAAATGAAGACTAAAGCGGAGTGTCGCGCTCTGTATACGATTTTAGCGCCTTACAAGTGCGGACACTTTTTAGCGCGGACCTGACGTCCATATAATTGTAAGTCAATGATCCCTATTCAAGTATTCATCCATGTAAACAAAATCACGAATTTTGGTAAATAATATTCAAAGGAGTGGAGTTTTAATTGAAGATTGTAATAATATACATGAAGTATCAAGAAACATATTCCTTTAAATTGCTTGCTCGAATAAAGTTTACTATCTTGTTGTTTTAATTCAGTTCAGTTCTATAAACATTACACTCCGGCAAATTACCTGTGATAAGCAAAACGACTCGCATATGCAATACCTTCTTAAATACGACGACATATAACTTTCGCTTATTTCATTTTTTTATTTATTCATGTTCAGGTTACAAAAGACCAATAAACACATACCTTTTAGATTAACATACATAATAATATAATAAAAACTGGACTGCGACGTGTGACGCAACGTGGGTGTCCGATAGCCGACACTCTTAGGCCAAAAGTCCTCCTTCATGAAAATCGAGAGATGTTGAGTTGGTACGCCACAAATGAATTTAAATTCACATTGTAGCGGGACTCCAACTGCTCGACCCTCGGGGCAGCATCGGCTTTCATCCGTATGTACTCCACAATATCCGCTGACTTTGTGGAATAATGAAGTCGTGACATGTATAGCAACGTCGTCGATTTTTACCAATCGGGGCGGTGCCACTAAGGTTTACGGCTTACGGATTTCTTTTTCTTTTCAACCTTTTTCAAACTGTGCTTGTCGCACTAGTCTACTCCTCTCGGTGGTACTAACGACGCAGCTTCAGAGATGAGTTTCGATTTTTTGCTTTTTATATTTTGTATTTTTTTGCTTGTATCGAGGCAAAATAAATAGGCAAGACATTGTTTATACTTCTAGCACCAGCTGGTAGTCGCGACTTCGTGTGCCTAAAATAAGCACTTCGAGTAGTCTACTGTCACAGATTACTTAACAGCTACTGTACTACACAAATTTTCATAGTTCTATTGGTGCTCCATACAAATTTTCATCCCCTATTTCACCGCCTTTGGTGGAGTTGGTACGCATTGTCAGGCAGCGGAAGGTTGCCTATTTGGGTCATGTACTGCGATATGACAGATATCATCTATTGCACCCCATAATGATGGGCAAAGTAATTGGGAAGCGGAATATTGAAAGAAAGAAAATCGCGCCTTACTTTCTCAAACTCGTATCATAAAATACAAAGTAACTGAAATACAAGAAATAGATTGTATATACAAATTTTGCTGGCACATTTCCTTCATATTCACACACTGGGTTTTACCTATTCTTAAAGTAATGCATCCCAATTAAGCCTCTTCATCAGAAATTTAAAATAAATGGAGAGTAATGTCATCTCCTGAATAACCACTCTAGGTTAGGGAAACAAACAAAACAAAAGAGTGTCACTGATTTTGAAAAAAGAAGAGACAAGGAATGCGTCACGATAATGGCCAGTATTAATTTTGAATTGGAAATAATCTTAAGAGATTACTTTCCAGCCGCCTCTCGTGGTTCGATGGCTAGCTACGGGCAAGCTAATTTAAATTAGCAGTCTTCGGTCCCTATTATCATTGTATTCTATCCACCACGTTCTTTCTCGTGTCACGTACATTTTTCTGTTAATTTATTCATTGCAAGTGATAGATTATCACGGGAGATCAAATTTAAAATTAATGCCAATGCATTGCAAACCACAAGTGACAATAATTAAATAGTAACGTTTATATTTAACACTAGCC